TTGATTTTTTTTTATTTTTATATATTTTTATAGTATATATATTATCTTTAACTTTCCTAATTTATTAAAACTATTTAATTTACCTAAATTTAATTGTTACATTCCCGGCAACGGCGCCAAAAACTTGATCCTGATTTTTTTACATGTAAGGACTTATGAAGTTGACACCACTGCAGTGCCAAAAAGTTGATCCTTATATGAAAAGTAAGTTGTGTAAAATATATATAATTATAGACAATTAATAATGTGATTCTACGTAAGTATATGTATCGTTATCAAGTAATAAAGGACTTTCTATTTAAGCCCCAAATAAAAATCCCACAGGGAGGGTGTAAATTGATAATAATAAGTTTTACTAGGAAATTTACAAAAAATCAAACGAAATCACTGTCACTAATTTTGAATTTTGAGATGTTATCAAAACTAAAGTACTTAACTATTAGCAAAATAGAAATGCAAAGTTTAAAAAGTAAATACTAATCTACTAACTATGTTTATGTAATGAAGATTTCTTATGTGAAAAAATATCTTTCCCACTACAATGAGGTTCTGGTGAAATGAGATGAGATAAATATTTATAATATGTATTATGTCAAATAAGAGCAATTATAATTCTCTACCGCGATACAGTGCATAGAAAATCATTGGCTAGTCTTAGGTTTAGTCTCTAAATCTGTGGTTAGGCTAGGAGGATACCGACACCCACTCTAGCGATCCCCCTTCTCTTCACCTGAAGGCTAACTCTCGCTTTAATTTTTAAACACTAAGACCGAATCGTGGATTTTCGTCTGTCACCCTAAAGATTCTCCAATTCTACACCCAACAAAGAATATTTCCTTATTTATTTGTACCTAATTCCATGAACAAATTTCTCCTCCATGAAATCTCCATGAAACTCCTCCATGAAATCAAATGTGATCCTCACTCTGTTGTATAACTCATACTCCATTTCTCGAATCATATGTTTCACATCATATTTCAACAATTCAATTGGTCAGATCGAAATTTAAAAAGTTTGGAGTTGAAAAATCATCACAATTTATTTTATATTTTAATATTACACAGCATCTTATCTCTTCATTTCACCATATCTCATGGTAGGAAGAAAGATAGAGGAAACTACTCAGACGTCATGAGAAAGACACAACAAAACACAAATTTCATATATAAAAAAAAGTTCATACAACACTAATAAACAAACAAAACTTATCTGAAACTCTTTCTCAAAGCAAATTTCTTGTATCATTTCCTTAGAAATGCATGAAGAAGATATCTCTCACTTTTCTCCTTCTCTAACACTTTTACAGAAAGTTTCACACTAAATCTCACCACACAAACTCTAAACTATAAAAGAAAAATCACTAATGGACTCCAATATGGTGGTAGAATGAAGATGGATTATGAAGAATGACGAAAATGGAGCGTGGTGGAACGTTGTAGAGCAAAAAGGAGTCCCTTTCCTGATGAATTTCGGCCTCAAATAAAGCCCAAGGTCGATTCTCCAAGAGGTGCCTCCAAAAACCGTGTCTCCAAAAACTCTTCAAAGATCATTCAAATGCATCAACCTTCTAGAAATGGGGGCTGAACCGTTTTTGGCACGGTTGGCACTAGTCTGGCGCCTTTGGCGCTGAGTAAAAATTTTAGCTGTTCTGTTGTTCTGCTCCGTCGGCACTGCCCTTGGCGCAGTCAGCGCTGAGTACTTCTTCAAAAACGTCATTTTGACTTCAAATTCCATCTTTTTTGCTTTAAGTCTTAAAAATCAACAACCTGCAAGAAAATATTAAAATACCTTATATCAAAATAGCTTCCATTAAGGTGCAATATCACCAAAAATAAGTATAAAATATGGGTCTAAAAATGCATATATTTTCAGTGTATCAACATCCTATTAAGTGTCCTATTTTCACTTAATTCCAATAGATTAAGATCATTTTTTTTTATAAATTATGCCCAAGTTTTTTTAGGTTTAACTTTGCCTTTCCTAACATAATTCTAATCTAAAATTTCTACTCTCCTAATTGGATCATCAAACGGACAACATTTAAAGTGACCAAATAATCTAATAAGACTCTCTGATCCTGTGGCCCAATGGAGCCGCACAAACCCTATCATGAATATAATCATTTCTCTTTTTCTCTAAATGTTTTAGGCCACTCATCCTCCTATGCATTATCATCTCAACAACACTTAAATGTTTTTTATGCTCCTCTTTTAAAAGCCAACATGTTACGTCATAAAATTTTGTAGATCATCTTATATTTTTTTTCTTTGTCTAAGAGGTATTTTCTATCACACAATAGGTCGGATACATTCCTCCACTTAAACCAATTAACTTGAATTCTACTAAATAACATTCCATTCTATATCACCTCACTTTGAACAAGAGACCCAAGTTTTCTAAAACGTTCACTCCTTCTAATGATTTTATCACCCGTAGTTAGAACTCTACCACTAATTCTAATACTACTAAAATTACATTTCATGTATTCAATTTTAGATATACTCAAATGAAGGACTTTAATCTCTAACGACGATCTCCATAATTTAAGTTTTTCCTAAACACTCTCTAATCTTATTCACAAGAAGGTTATTATCGGTGAAAAGCATACACCATGTTACATCCTCCTGTAAATATCTAGTAAAAGTATCCATAACTAAAGCAATAACATATTGGCTTAAAGCAGATCCTTGATGTAATCCAACTAAAATAGTAAAAATTTTGGTCAAATCTTTGACCCGCAAGTTGGGGTCACCAGGAGCAGAGCTGTCTATCGCTAAAGCGAAGGGATCATCGAACTAGTGGAGTCGTTGGGAGAGGGATGCTTAGGGAACCTAGGCGAGGAGAGACTGGGAGTGATAGGAGGTTGGGAGGTATAAATGTTTAGTTTTGATGGCTTATCAATAGCTAATAATCTATAGATAATTAACATATTACGGAAGAATAATACCATCATGTAATAAAAAATCACGTCAGTTAAAACTTCATCAAATTACGGGTTCATAGATAACCGAAAACGTATGATCGTCAGTTAATATTTGCTTATACTTGATAGTCTAATGCATTGGTAAGAATTTAAACCATCGAAAAAATAATACTTTTGATAAACGACAGTATGTTCTGTATTTTTGCCTCGCAAATAACCCAGATCATAAATTGTCATTAGACCATCTGTAATAGCTAAAACTGTCAGAAAAAATAGTACTTTTGATAGGTGAGGGCATGCCCAATAGTTATATTTTTGTAAATAACTCAGGTCATAAACTGTCGCTAGATCGTCAGAAAATAGAACATTTTTTCTTATGCAAATTTAGACCATCGAATTTGCCATCCGTTTTAGCACTTTTTTACTATAGTGGAAGTTAATATGATCAAATTGAAGGAGACTTCAACTGGCACGTATATAAATTCCCCTTTATTTAATATGTTTGGATACACAATAACAGAGTAGAATCCAAAATCCCGAAACATCATCACAAAGCATGAGAGAATTCAAACTGATATGTACATCATTTTGTCATTTCCCTAAAAAATCAAAATTTTCTATTCCATTCCATCGAACTTCTTGGTTCTTCAACAAATTCATTGATACGAATCGTAGGGCATGAGCCACCAATTCAAAAAACACAATAAATTTTTTAAACAAAAGGGACGATGTCTTAGGACGAGAGGTGTGTTCTTCTAAGAGTTTCTCCAAAAGACTCTTCAAAGTCCATGAGTGATCGATGTTTATCACGACGATGACAAATTGGAATATTGTAGCAAGAACGTCAAGTTTCTGAAGAGGAGGGGAGAGAATTTTTATAGAGAAAAGAGAGGAGAGTTGCAACTGGCTAGGGCATCAAAATTTCAGGAGAGGAGGGAGAGGAGAGTGGCCAACAACTAGGGCATAGGAAATTTTGGGAGAGGAGAGAGAGGAGTCTTGAACGGTTAAAGCATGGGAAATTTTTGGAGAAGAGAGAGATGAGTGGCAAGCGACTTGGGCATGGAAACTCCAAGAGAGGAGAGCGAAGACTCCCGAATGGCTAGAGCATGGGAAAATTTTGAAGAGGAGTGGGAGGAAAAATTGCAAGATATGCGCGGATATGGCTTCCGCTCGGTCTGGAGAAAATAGAGGATAGAAAACATTGGAATAAACGTGGTTTAAACCACCACTTTACTCATGTTGGTTTTAAAACATCAACTAAAAAATGCTGCGATATGTTGCGTTTTTTTTGTAGTGGTAATTTGTACAACGAAATCTATATTAAGAAAAAAATTAATTAGTATAAATTATTAAATATATTTAGCAATATTAATAATTATTATGGCCAGGGTCTCATTCATATTCTTCATGACCACGGTGGATTGTTCATATTCATGAATGATTTTTCAGCTGCTTGCTCTGTTATATTATTATTAAATATATTTATGGTCATCTGTGGTGGGCAAACAAAAGACAAATAATAATGTAATTAATGTTCTAAAGCGTGTGAGACTTTAAGGGTAGGGCAATTTTTTTTTTTTTTTTTTTTTTGGAAGAGGTTTTTTATTTTTCATGTTTAATTTCACTTTTCTCTCTCTCTCTCTCTCTCTCTCTCTCTCTCTCTCTCTCCCACTCTCGGCTTGCTTATTCAAATGCATTCATTGGCTCATAACTCGTCAAAAAATTCTACATGGTTTGCGTGCTGGTAAATAGTACAGATATGGTTTGCCTTGCCTTCTACTAGTACTGATGCCTTCATCCATATATTTTCAGAAACGTTAATAGGGTTTAGTTAGTTATCCTCTTTCTCCTTCCAATTTCAGTAATAGATTTGCCGACATGACTGTTGTTGATTTTGCTTGGCAGTGAGCTCTGAACTAGTTAGATATTTTGAAAAAGATCTTGCCTGTGTTAGGGCACTTTCACTGCTTTGGGTATTTCACTATTTTTTTCTGTTTATTATTGCTTTTTTCTCTCTCGTTTCAGTCTCATCGCTAAATTTAAAATTTTCTCAATCTGAAGAAGCACATCTGAATGATGGAAGGGTTTGCCGCCCAGAATACCCAAGACGTCGATCTCTATTCAAATTCTACAGCTTCTGACCTCCAAGACCTTATCTCCTCAAATCCAAACCGAGCCAAAAAAAAGAGGAGCATCACAGGAAATCTTGGTCTCTCTCTCTCTCTCTCTCTCTCTTTGGCTGCACAGGAAATTTTTGTCTCTCCCTCTCTCTCCCACCTTTTCATTTAATAGAGCAAATTCAAGGACAAATTAATCTGATAGAAACATACTGACTTTTGTCAGCTTGATTTTGTGAAAGAATTGGCTCCTAGCTAAATTTAATTAATGATACTACTTAGAAGTGAGCAACAAAATATTTATTTCGTTACATCAGACTTTTAATTGCGTTGTTAATAACACCTGTCTGTAGTTATAATGATTTTTTCTTTGTGAATACCTCAGTATAGATTTAATGTCCTGTATTTGATCTAAATTTAGCTCATAGTACTCATCTAAGTTTCGTTCTTCAAACGATGTTAGCTTCACCCTTATAACCTTCAGGATCAGTCAGTTTGTATGTCTTTCAAAATGTTCTTCTTAGGTTTAAATCATCATTGTATATATTTTTGAATTGGAGGAAAACATAAAAACATAAATATGCATACCATTAATCAGAGCTTGCATTTCACTTACCTCAAAACATCCCTTATCTCCTTTAATTTCTCCATATAGAACTTCACTAAAGGCATATTGAGAAAAAATGAAAAAAAATTATATACACAAGCACGCACACCCACGCATACGCGCGAGTATATATATATAATATATATTTCACATTTATGCTCATGTAATTTTCTAAAATGGATGCAGATCCGAACGCTGAGGTGATCGCTTTATCTCCCAAGAGCTTGCTAGCCAAAAATAAGTTTGTTTGTGAGGTCTGTGGGAAAGGTTTTCAAAGAGACCAAAACCTGCAGCTTCACAAAAGAGGCCACAACCTGCCATGGAAGCTTAAGCAGAGGCAGAACAACGAGGTTGTGAGAAGAAAGGTTTATATCTGCCCTGAGCCTTCTTGTTCTAATCACGATCCTTCGCGAGCTCTGGGCGACCTCGCCGGTATAAAAAAGCACTTTTCTAGAAAGCATGGAGAGAAGAGATGGAGCTGTGATAAGTGTTCTAAGAAGTATGCGGTGCTCTCCGATTGGAAGGCACATTCCAAGATCTGTGGTACTAAAGAATATAGATGCGATTGTGGAACCATTTTCTCAAGGTATTTGACTGAATAGCGAAAGTGAATTAAATGTGTTTCAGTTAAAGATTTGACTAAGAGTAGTTTGGCAAGAATTTATGTCATTTTTTGAATTCTGTGTATTTTAGCTACTCTATTTTTTTAAAAAATTTTATTTACGTTAATATTTTTCTAATCAATTGAAGCTGATTTTATGAATTATTATTTTTTCTTTGTATACAGTTTATTGCACGTTTGCATGATTCTTATCTATACTATCCTTTAGGAAATTAAGTCATATCATACTGGCAATCAAGTTAATGCATTTCCTTCCATTAAAAGACATAAGAATTTAATATTCACTAACAATTCTAGATTCAACAGATGATATATTCCCATCACCCCACCGACGCAATTTTAATATATATTTTATTTCTTGACTTCACAAATACAGACTAATCTTATTCAGGTCTCACCAAATTTCACCATCATTTTAATTCTTTACAGTTTAAAATTTTAATTCATAACTATAACCATTTAATTTTCAATTTCAAAAAATTTGTCATCCTAAAGTTTTCATGAGAGTACTTTTTTTCTTGTATGGTGTAGTATCGGTCCAGTGCCACTTATTCGTTTTAAACATCAAATTTTACATAACATTATAGAATAATTAACGCTCGCTAAAGATGCAGTCCAGCAAGCACAGAAAACAGAATTATTATCTACTAAACAACTAACAATTGTAGGACAGGAAAATTACTAGCAATTGCATCTTGTAATCGACTTTCGTTTTTCTCTTCCTGAGCTGGCTCTGACTTTGAGTTATTCGTTGTTTCTGGGTGCAGGAGAGACGGCTTGATCACACACAAAGCCTTCTGTGAAGTATTGGCAATAGAGAATTATAGGAGAATGATGAGAACAAGCCCATTTAATCAACCCTTTCTTCCTCATCCCACAGCCTTGCACAATTTGGACAGCTCCACCTCAGCTGGCTTAATACCAGAAATCCCAGAACTGATATCAACGGCAACCACATCACCTAACCATCACCATATAAATTATATTAATCATTCAATACACTCTTCAAATCTATGCGGCCATTTGAAACCTTCTCCTCTTCCTTCTCTAAGCTTTTCAGCCACTGCATTGCAGCAAAAGGTAACTGAGATGAGTTCCAGTGTGACCAGACCCTCAGAGCTCCATGCTTTGTTTTCTTCAAATAGTCAGGAATGGAGTAATGGTGATTTCGGACATGGTACATCGGTTTCAACCCCTCTTCAGCTCCAGTCATTTCTTTCTTGTTCAGAATTTGTTTATCCTAATGAAGAACCAATGGGAGGACTAGTAATGAGTGCAAAGAGAGAGGAGGGAAGGGAAGAGGATTTCAGGGTGGCAATGAATTATGCGGGAGATCAAACTGGAAGAAATGAGAGCACCAGAGATTTCTTACGGCTAAGAGTAGCCTTGCATGAGGAGCTTCTCAACTTATCTGCTGTGGAGACTTGCATGGGCTCTTCTGCATCATTTGGGTAGCCAAGAATAATATGAGCAACCAGAACTTTCAATCAGAGGACTACAAGGTTGCTACGCAGTCTTAAAATTGCAACTAAATATTTTACTTGGTAAATTTTTCATTCCTTCAGTAACACTTTTATATATACTATTGTTTATTATTATTATTATTATTATTATTATTATTTGGTAGTGTTACTATTGATTGAATAAGTGTTGATCCTAATTTAAATATCTATTAAAATGTGGCTAGGTGTAGGCAATTTTAAAATCGCTAGAAGTTTTAGCCACACACATTGAAGAGAACAAAAATGTACAGCTAGATTCTTTTGCTTGCATTTTAAATGATGGATGAGGAATAAAAAATATAATAATATTACTAAAAATTCAATTATAAGAAAGCCCTCGTCTTAAAATTCATGCAAAAGAAGAGATCTTAATGAAAAATCAATATATTATATATATATATCCTACAGAGATTTGAGCACTTACATCTTCTTCTTGTATTAAAGATAATCATTAATTTGACGTAGCTGAGATAATGTTTATAATTAATGTAATAGAATTTTCTCAATTTCAAGTTAACTCTTTTTGTTTTTTTCTTTTGGAATATATATGTCTATTAACAGTATATTTTAGGTTTTCACGCCTGACAAAGCATATGCTATGCAAGTTGGAACAGAACGAACTAGTGATTTTATGTTGGCTGTTTGTGATTTTGCTCGCCTGGGTCCATCATGCTATATGCTGTACTTCATATATCTATATATAAATTCATTCCGGAAATTTATCACACAAAATCTCAAAATCATAACTCATAAAGTACAATTCTCCTCTTCATATACAAAATCTCTTTAGAAGATCGGCATTTTTTCACTTCTTCTCTAAGAAGCTTTTGTTTTTCTTTATAATACATAAACTTTAGAAAAAAAGGTTATTTATACCTTTAGAACCGATTAAAACCTTGCCTGTATTACTTGCCTACAAAACCGAACTCTACTTTTCACTCTTTACCAACCAACATATCAGTACAAATTCAGATATCACATGCATTTCCTAAGTTTTGAATTTTCAACATTTTAACATTAAGAAAAACAATATTATTTATGTATTTGTGAAAATGATTTACACAACATATTATCCACTTATAAAAACAATGTCAACTTTTTATTCTTCCTCTACTGCATCTATCACATAAACATGTATCACATGTATTGCATAACATTTAAATTTTCAACATTTTAAATTTTTAAATAATTTTATTTTTTATCATCTTCCCATGAAATTAATTTGTAACTCCAATTATATTATGCAACTTCACAAAAGATCATTGACTGGCACAATAAAAACTTCTATTGCATGATCTTAAGATATTAAATTTCTCAAGTACATTTTCTTTCTTGAAATGCATTCTCTCATCTAGTAACAATAGTGTTAATGGTTTGTCTCTATTATGAAGATAATATTTCTCCAATTAATGTAATAGGTCAATCTTTATCTCAATAAGCTTCTCTTCTAAAAATTATAATTATTTCAATAAATTTATTTGTTAAATAGCATCATATACATATGAAGATGTAATAACATATTCAACAGTGCTAATTAAGTATGCAACAATAGATTTTTTAAAATCTAAGTGAATGCAATTTCTCTAATAAAAAAACACAAATTGTTAGTGCTCTTTTTATCATCTAAAATCCCGCTCCAATATATCTATCACTACTTTCAAAACTTTTATATTTGTTAAAAAAATGAATTGAAGTAACTCGTGATAACTAATTGCACCTTTGATTTATATCTAAGCATTCTTCTAGTATTATTGAAGTAAGTCGTTATTGGAGATTCCTTATAGCAACTAACTACTCTAACACAATAAAAAAAATATGTTCTTGTACAAGTTAAGTATCATTGGCTTCAAACAAAAGTTTTGTGTAGAATTTGATCAATGTTTTCTTTGTATTATTTTTTGACAACTTGACTCCTCATTCCATCAATACTTTAAATAGAATAGTGTCATCCATTTTGACCCCTTTCAATCTTTCTTTAACATAGCATTCTAGAATGATAAAATTCAATTTCGTTTCATTATCAAGACAATAATGCATAAGATTGATGTTCTTAACCTATATTTTTTGGCTAATTCTTTCTTAAAATTCTCATATGTGTAGGGATTATTAATTACCTATGAAAATCAAGTCATATACACTCAAATCATAAATAAAGTACTTCTATTTTAATCTTTAATCAAAACACATGGTTATAAAACATTTAGTAAGATTATGTTCTTTCATAATCTTTTGATTCTAGTATTCTAAATTTTTGGCTTACTTTAGTTCATATATATAAGGTCGTTCGCAACTTCAATATATTTTCGTCTTGCTTTTTTTGTTATATCCTATTGTTAGTTCAATGCAGACTTCTTTTTCAAGAATGTCATTTTGAAATTGGACTTTTTAACATTTAATAAATCACTCATTCATGTTGGGCAACCAAATTAATTATTAGTACAACGGATTTAAGGCATGCAACTAGAGAATTACGTCATCAATGCAATTTTTTGTATTGTATTCCTTAATAACCAATGTTGATTTGTATTTCTTTACATCCTTTTTGGCATTCTTATTCACTTTTGAAATAATTTAACTCTAATAATTATATCATGTTCTCATAAAACTATAACGAGCTCCTATGTGTTATTCTATATGATTGCTTTAATTTTATTAATCCAAATTATCAACCAACTTGTACCTTATATTGCTTCCTTATCTCCATTTTTTTGTAATCAATAATATACTAAAATGAACAATTGGCAACTTGTTTTTTTAATTATTTGTAAAATATGATATTTTTTATTTCAATTTTTACTTAAAGTTGTTATTTCTGATAATCCATTAAAGGTTCTTATTAAAATTAATAGCATATTTGGATCTAAATACTCTCCTCTTACAATTTTCTACCAATCTCCTTGTGTTCTCTAATCATAAAGATCTTTTAATCAAATTCTATTTAGGACTAACCCATCTTATCATTAAATGGATTACAAGTTTTATAGCCACCATTAGTCATGATTGATTAAAGCTTGTCTTTCACTTTTATTACCAAACTTCATTCATATTTCTTTTCCAGAATATGGACATATAAGATTCTACTAAAACCTCTTAAGTTGTCAAAATTTTAATTCACTATACTGTATGCTTTCAGAAAGCGCCTTCAAACACACTTCTTATAGGGGATCAACTTTTTAATTAGATTATACAAGCATCCATTTGGATTAAAGAGACTTTGGATATTCTCAAACATTTGAAGACCCATTGATCCTTTTTAAGAACGGTCATTCAACCAGCCGGGGGTCGGGAACGGTCTGAATGGTCTAAATGTCATTTCTTATGCTCGGACGTCCATAGAAAGGTTTTCACTGATCCGAAAGCTACAAAAAATGAACATTCTGATTGTTTCAAATTGGGGGTTTTAGTTCCGACCAACACCCCAGACCTTCGCGTAGGTGGGTCGGTCCAACCTCGATTTTTCCAAAAATGTGCGAGGGAGAGTTTCGTGATTGTCTTTGACCACAGGAGACTCCGAATGGACAGTGCATGATCTCTAAAGACTAGAATATGCATTAAAACTATCACGTGTCAAAATCATAGTCACCCAAAGTTGAGCTCTCTCGGATAGGGCTGAATTGGCAACAATCCTAGACTCGTGCTCGAAGCACGTACCAGAAGATTGAACACAGTCTCATATCATTCAAGTGAACGTCCCACATGTATGACATCAAAAGTGATGCAAACAGACATCTTTCTAATAGAGTCATAAAGATTGGGTGTATAAGTTTAAGTTGCTTAGTGGCCCTTGAAGATGGCTCTTAACTTATTTTTATCTTACAAAATGGGTATCCAATAAAGTACATAAAAGGTTATTGGTCAAAAGTATACTCCTTCAAATTTAATCAAAATGAAATTTTCACATATTAAATTTTAAATTAATATTAATTAAAATAATAATGAATTTAATGTATATTCTTTTAAAAAACTAATGGAAAAAATTACTTTTTCAAATTTGAAATAATATATAATGCCCAAAATTTCTCTTGATGATTTAATAGCTAAAATTATCTTAGTATAAAGTTAACACCACCTTCACTGAGGTTTCAAAAAATGGACTATGATTTGATCTGCCGCTCATCAAGCATGTCATTATCATTATTAATTGGAATGGGAATTAACTGTGCAGCAATTAGCCTTTTTGTTAAAAAAAGGTTTCTGCGTGTGAGAAATTGCAGGCCGTCCGTTTAGACATCTCTGTCACCATTTAATTTAATCTATTTATCAGATTTATTTATAAGGATATGGTGCACTTAAATCTACGGTTCTTGGAATCAGACAAAATCATAGAAAATAAAAGATTCAATATTTGATGGTATAACTTTTCAACCAATCGTTTTGACGTGAAATACTCCAGTTTATTCACTAATTTTAAATGCTTTGCTGACTATAATTTAATCAAAATAATCTGACCCTTAAATATTAAACAAAATAGTATTCAAAATCTATTTTTCAAATAAATTTGTACTGTTAAATCCATTTTTAAAATGGCTTCAAGGCTGATGGTTTAGGACAAGTATTAGCTGAGTATTTTTTATCGTTCTAAATATTTTGGTGATTTTGATTTAATTTTGAACCATAATAACAAATTAAATAATGTGGTTCTCCATTGGAAGGTGAGGTGTCTGATATGTAAATACTGAAAACTTGAATGGTCTGCATGTAAAAGTTCCGTTGTATAAATGATGTTACCATAGAATTGTCCTTGAAAAAAAAAAATCCTATGATGAATTTAATGAGATTAGATAAAATTTATGGAATCTTAATTTCTACTAAATTTATATCACCTTATTTTTGTTTAGTCAAATGTAGTCTCAGTAATCCATATCAACCGGACCATTTAAATGTATAATATTCATGCTTTCATTTGGTTTGGCTTTTGTCGTAACTTTTTGTTTTCGACACTTTCTCGTAATGTCGGTGTCCCTTGTTTATTTATTTATTTCTTT